GGGCAGAAGGCACATAAAAAGTAAAGTAGTCCAGGAATGGTGAATTGTCAGTAGGGAACAAGGAAATACAGAACGCCCAGTTAAATCTCAATTTTGGTCTACGCTCATATACATATTTCAATTACAAATAGAGTGACTTTGTGTTCCAGTTTATTTGTAAACTAGTAGAAATGGTGTCTTTCTTATGGGGGGGGTCTTAGGATTAATGGAATCACAGTATTTAGAGTGTTTAACCACATTGGGCTTCTAACAATGGGTCCAAATAGCAGCTGCTACTAGAATTAGCAAGTTGAACAACTCTTCTGCAATAATAACATGTTCCTCTGATGCCTTGAGCTTCATCCCACAATCATGTCTGCATGTCTGTCTTTTATGGGGAGAAAAACTGCCCTGATCCCTGTCTCTAATGGGATTTCCTTTTTTTTTTTTTTTAAACCTGTGTCTCATTCCTTCACTTCTTTTTTAAAAACATTTTTATTGCGTTTCTATGCATTTTATATAACAGATCTTAAGTTTAGACCCTTCCCCCATCCATACCCACTCCATACCCCCCACCAGATTTCATGCATTCTGTCATATATGTTAAGTCCTATCTGGTCAAGCATTTGTACCCAGATGTCCTTTGGTGAAAGTTCATACACTGGTGTCTAGTCAGCCTACCTAGAGTTTCTCCCTTAAAGAAGAAGATCTACTATCCCTCACCCAGCAGTGATCAGCTGCCAATAGCTCCTCGGTAGGCTCCACACCACCACTTTCCAGGCTTTGCACCTTTGGGAGAACCCATCTTGGAAGCAAAGGTACAGGGATGCTCAGTACTTCAGTGCTTCATGTCTGGTCCTCAGAGGTCTTAAATGCACTATGCGGTGGGCTTTCAGCAGCAATGGAACTACCTTGGTAGATAATCACCCCAGAATTCTTTTCACACGCCTGGGCATTACTTGGGCTTCCAAGCTTACTGGTATGCCTGAGAGTGGAGTTTGTCCACTGTGATCTATGTGCTCATTCTGGCTTGTGCTAGAGGGGAGGAGAGACATTCTACTTATGTGAAACTGAAAGTGAACCATGGACCATATTTAGAGTCACTTGATTTGCTCCCAGTCTGCTGAGGCTGAGAACAACCCACGAGTCAGTGAATTTTAACAACAAATATACTTTGATTCTTGGCTCTGAAATGTGTTCAATTTCATTTTCAAGGCAATTTTTATCAATATTCTTTATATAGATAAAAATTGCTATAGAGATAATCACACAGGAACAAAAAACTGCTTATATGATCTCCAGTTAGGGATAATTTCTGGTCAACATTTTGTGTATGTTTTTATGAATATTCCTTATGTAATGTTTTGGAGCTACACACCTATAATAACATTACATATATTGATCTTTTACATTTAATTATTTTTTATTTTATTATATAAATGGCACAGGTAATTGTAACTAGAAAATGAAAATGAGCAGAAGGTTGAAAAAGAAAAATCTCCTTCAATTTCCACTAGACAAAGATTACTGTGTAAATTTTCTGCATGATCTTTCATTATGCTTCCTGAGATAGCTATTCTAACAAGCACTATGCTATACATAGTTGATATATGTATTTTACCGATTATATATTTATATCAACATTTATCCCTAGGCATGTATTTATAGAATCTATTATATGTAATTAGTAGTAAGAATTTGTAAATAATTAAAAACTCAATAGTGGGAGATGTAACTAAACCACAGAAGAATCAACTACAAGAAAATAATGTACAGTTATTAAAAATGCTGTGTTATGTTTTAGCAGTCAGGAAAATATCCATGTTGTTACATTCTTAAATTAAAAAATCTGGTTAGGAAAACCTTGTAGAATATATTACATATCTGTTAAAACAGATTTATCTACATCTTTTTTTTTTCCCTCTAAAAGACACTACGGACATTTTCTCTGTATTGGAGCACATTATCTTCATTTTACTTCTCTGTATTTTCTTAATTTTCATGAACATGCACAGCATCCTTCCCCTTCTCACCATGAACAGTGAAGCAGGAGTAGTAAGCTAGGCAAAGCAATATGTTTTCATGTGGCAAACAATTTCAAGGTCTAGATTGACAATGCAATGCCAGCTTTATTTTTCATGAAGTTACGAAGTTAAAAACATTTTATTAGAAAGGAAAAACTGTACTCAACTGTAATGAGATAAGTACATTTCTGTTTCATAAAAAGATAATTGGTGGAGAATTCAATCCAATTCCCCATGGCTGAGTTGCCTGAGGTCGTTCTTGACTTTATTATCACACCATTTTCATTTGACTCAGAATCTTGAAGCTTTGTGTTAAAAAGAGTCCAAGGAGCATGTGGTGGTTAGTATGACAAATACTTTTTCTTTCTTCTGGCTTGTCCACTGAGTAGTTTATCAGCACTTGCGGAAGCTTTAAACCTGATCATTTATCTTTGTTTTCCCTTTTATATAATAATTCCAATTGTCTTCCGTTAATTTTTTTTCATTTTAACCTACTTGGCTTGGGGGAAGATGCTTAACTTCAATATTAGTATAGGAAAGAAAACTGCATAAGAACATGGGAATTTTTCTTATAGGAATCATTTTGCGATGCTGTTGGCATGTGAAATAGCATCCCAAATGGGAAGATAATATCCTTGTTAATCAAAAAACTATTTAAAAACTCAATTAACAGAACATTATGCTATATAATTAATCTTCATTGAATTTTACTTTCTTTCCCATCCCCCCTACAAAGTAGTTAATAAGCCTTTGAATTTTATTGCAATAATCAATAGGCTAAATTTCATAATATAAGGTAACCTAGCTATAGAAGATAATCAGACACTTGCCCACTGCCGGAAGTAATTAACTCAAAACTATCACAAGTCTCCTTTGTTCTGAGCACTGAGTGATGACTGTCTCTGAGTGAGACTCCAACAGGCAAATCAGAAGAGCAGAAACTGAAACAAGATGAAGTGGTTTGCCTTCTGAGAAGTCAAGGTTGCAAAGAATAAACATAACAATAAATACAGTTATGAGAAAGAATTAAATTAATTGGAATCTTGAAAAACAGACTCATAGAGATCTGCTCATGTTGAGATTTGCTTGAACGATCCCAAGAGACGATTTGAATTGTCATGTCTTAGATTTGTACATTGGCTTTATAGTTGAGTGAACTGGAGATCATGTGCATTACAATTTTTTCTCTTTTTCAATAAGATTGGTCTGTGACTCACCGTATATACTTACAGAATAAAAATGATAAAAGGAACAAATTTACAAGTGACTCCAAATGCGCAATCAAGAATTAGAGATGGCAAATCTCTTGGTGTGTGTCCTTCTCATCTTTAAAAAGAATATATGCTTGATTGTGATACAGACATTGTCTGCATTTTCTACACTTGATATGAGCATCTTAACTTATATTTAAGCATATATTCATCATAGACTCACACAGGATAAAATGAATCACTCTTCAACTCACTTGTTTGGGCAATGGTGTTTGGTTCTCTATCTGAATTCTATTGTTATCATCATCAATTAACACCCTTAAGTAATGACTTGATTCCAAACTGTTGGAGAGTAGATGACATTTTTTTTTTTCAGAACGTTTAAGAACCTGAAGTGTAGGCAACTTCACTCAGAGAGTGAATATGTGCCTTGGCCCTATTCAGCTGCTTACATCCTCTCTCTTCTCTATTTGTATCAATTCCTCCTGAACCAACCCATAGGTCAAGGAGAGTTTAAAGAGAGAGAAAGCAATCCTTTCTTGGAAGTTCTTTGGGAGTGTCCCTATCTCTTTTGGACTTCTTGTGCTCCCAGCTTAGAACTTGATTTTGCCAGACACTCAGCCATCTGTTTCACAGACCCTAAAATATATTCTGGGATTAATAACTTCTATTCAAAATGCCAACAGCATGTCAAGTTTCCTGAAATGTATTCCCAGAATAACATCGAGTGAATCTTAAGACAGGAAGTCACATTCCAAAAGCACCTGCAAGTAATCGACATTAGTTGAAAACTGCAGATAATGGGTTTCACATAATTGGGACATAAATTTGATGTTTATAAAAAGAATAGCTACTATTTACCAAGGGCCAACTCTATGTGCAGCAGGCATTCTGCTAAGTATCTTGTTTAATGGGGTTTCTAATTTTTTCCCAAGCCCACAAGTTGCAGAGGAAAACTGAGGCTAAGAGAGAATGACATGTCTGGCTGACTGACTATCTCTGAAAATACCAAACAGGGAAAACAAATCATCTCCACGTACCATTGGTAGACAGAAGAAAGTAAGCTGCGTTCTGTTGAGGGAGCCATCTTATCTTATTGATTTTTTCTTCTATTTCTAAACTCTTCAGGTAATCGAACTCGGGTTCATGGCTCTGGAATGTGCTGTAAACATTGTATTCACCCCTACGATGAACCTGATTTTTACTCTGTAGGGAGGGAAAAATACACAAAAGATTAAACCACTTAAGCCAAGTGCAAACTCATGAACTCTTCTTTTTCCCTTTTGAGCAAAGCCATTTAGGGGTGTGATGGAAGGCTACATCAGAGTGGTCAGAGGCCAAAGGCATGACAACCACATGTTCAGCCTTAGTGTATGGGCCCCCAAAACATACACCTTGTTGGCAAATATCAGTACCTCTGCTATATATGTATTAATTTATAAATTACATATTTAAACTTCTGTATTGATAAAAAGTATATATTACAATATGTACGTGGAAACAGAAGTTAAAATAGGGCAAGACTTTGCAATCAATATAAACAGAAGTTCTAAAATTCTCTGTGTGTGTTCCAGAAGCTGTTGAGTGAACCACTCCATGGTAGGGCTCATACATGCTTATGTCAACCCCTATGAAAAATGCAGCTGTAGCAACTATAGCCTTTTCTGTCTTTTACTATAACAGTCCTTTTGCATGCCTATCTGGTCTTCACAGACTCTCCTAGAGGTGGATGGGGCAGGGAGATGGACACATGCGACTCAGAGATATTAAGAGAGTTTCCCAAAGTCATACAGCTCTTAAGGAGATTTGGGCATCTGTCCCTCCCTCCTGCCTTTTATCCAGCATGAGTGATAAAAGGGACAGCTGCACAGAAATGCCATCTGTATCATGAGGAGAATGATGGGACCTTACCTATGACTTTCCCCTAGTACTAATTATGCAAAGTGCAAACAGCAGGAACTAAATAAATGATGAGACCCTGGAACACAAAGGCAAGGGCCTGCAGAAGGGAAGAGGAAGAGGAGAAAGAGAAGAAAAGACAAGGGGGAGGTGGCTGTATTTTAGGTGTTTTAGAACCATGTTACCCAAAGCTTTGAGATTTGCCTTTGAAAAATTATTCAGAAGTTCAAATCTAGGTCTCATCACACATTTTTAATCAAAGTTTGATATTTAAGAAAAGGCTCAATTTAAAACTTATGATCCTAGGTGGATACAGGACATCTAAAACCACATCTCAGCTTGCCCTTAAACGCTGTATGTGTGTGGGGTGTTTGCTGCTGAGCTTGGGTGGAAGTGTGCAGGGAGGACACTGAGGAAGCTGTGAGCAGCCTGTCTGGGACAGGCTCCCTGAAGTGTCAGTGCCCCAAACTGTCACATGGCTTTGTTTACCAGGCCATGAGTACCTTTTAATCCCTCAACTCCCTGAAAGCTAAACACTTAACCGTAGGTTCGTTATCTTTAATGACATTTGTTTTCCAGTGAAGCAAACCACTCTGCTTCGGAGAGTGTGTCTCTCATCATTCTACTAATGAATCAGACTTCCTAAATATTTCAGTAAATGAAAATAGGTGAAACCTATAAATAGCTAGGGGAAGATGTAGGGTGGACCATTACTGGCAAGTACTGCCTTGGGTAATTTATGCTAAATAGCTCTTCCAGGTCTCTTTATTATCACTGTGAATCTAATTGGATTTTTTTTTAATTGGAGTTTTGAAAATCAGTTTTCAAAGGACTTTAGGAACTGACATCCTTGCTATTCTCCTGCTTACTCACAGAGAGCCAGTCCACCTTAAAAACAAATCTATAAGAGGGTTGATTTGCTACCATCCAAATCAGACTGTCAAGTGTGTGTAGCATGTGCCAGACCAATTAGCACCAGGCAGCTCTGGAAAAGCAGGAAAAATTCCAGGTCACGAAGAGCTATTAGTTCCTACTTGCCAACCACATTTTCATGTTTCCAGGGCCAATGCAATAGGCTGGGTGCCTGATTTAATGCTGAGCACTTGAATTTATACAGAACCCTGAGGGATTACGATGCCCTTATAGAAATTAATTGCAAATAATGTGCAATTACCAAATATATCACCTCTAAATGAGGCTTCCCATTTTTGAGGGGAGGTGTAATGCAAATGGCTTAGAGGCACAAAGCAGGCATTAAATTGCTAGGGAAGTCTCTTGTGGAGTCTTCCTCCAACACCGGGCCTCCCTCATGCTTCTTCAGTGCCCAGTGAGTCTCGGAGGCAGGCGGTGGCAGATGGGAGAGTTGCTAGCACACAGACTACCCTGCTGGAAGGACTAGACTGTGCCAGGAGAGGACAGGAAAATTGAACTGGGCTACAAATCCATTCTGAGCAAACAGAAACAAGCACTCAAAAGCCCCTTAATTTATATGACAAAGAGAAAGAATTACTGGTGGAACCCAAGTCTTTGGAAGAAATGGACTTTTTGAGACTTGCTAGAAGTTACAATGCTTGCTCAGAAATGGCCTTGCATACGATGCCAGCTCCAGGGACCTTTCTGTTACCCACACTAACTTGGGTGCTATATGCTAGGCTGAAATGCTGTTTTGTAGGATTTCACCCCTTTGCTAAAGAGAACTATCATATTCGTCTCTACTGGCTCAACATGCCCTCTTTACAACGGTTGTCAAATAGCTATTTTGTTCCCTTCTACGTATTCTGGCAGTACCTGAAATGAAGGGAGACCGAATTTCAACACTCGGAAGACAGACTCCTTGAGAACAGCTGGGGGTTGCTCCGAAAGCACCTGTGGAATTTTGCAGGTCAGATGAGAACTGAGCTGTTTTTGAATGTGCCCTATGCAGAGTTCGAAAGATAAGGCTATGCTCAGAGAGAACCCACTTTGGGGTGCTTTTTTGAGTTCTCAGTGTGGAACTGTTCATGCTAACGACTTTTTGGCAGTTTTATGTTGGTGAGCCAAGTGGCAAGGTTAAGGGTGACACATAGGGATTAAGGAACAGCAGGAGACTTCCTCTAAAAAGGGAAGAAAATGGGCATTTTTGCGTTGGCTGTCACTTACCTCCTGCTCTCGTTGAAATATTACAACCCGACCCCCCTTGTCCCCTGTCGCTAGTAATTCTCCCGTGTGGTTGAATTCTACCGTGGAGATAATGTCAGCTGAAAAAGAAAAAGACAAAGACAATTTAAGTAACTGCACACTTACTTTGAAAGGATAGATAATAGATACACTTTCCTGTGCATTTAAGGGCTTAGGGCTTTGGCTCGGCAGTGGAATTTGCAAGGATTTTATGTTCTGTATTTAAGTGCCATTTCAAGTGACACTTGGGGAAGTGAATTTCCCAGATGCCCACGCATTGTGGTCTCCTGGAACATCTGAAGAAAACGAAAGGGGAAAGTGTGTTGAGAAATCCTTTTGTTTTGGGTAAGAGAAAATATATTTCTTTACAGCTCCGGGACACAACCGTTTTCTTTGATAATTTCTACCAACCACAGCCCCTTCAGCTACTTCCCCACAAAGAAAGTCCCCCAAACAGGTTTCAGTGCGGTGGTTCACCTTAGGTCAGAGCATCGAGAAAAGCAGGATTAGGATGTCGATGCTCACAGAGATCACAGAGGAGGGCACAGAAGTCACTGGAGAACCTGAGGACCCCACCAAGGCTCCAACCTGACCAGGGCTCCCCGCTTCTTGTGTGAGCCCAGCACATCCTCTGGAAGAGCACAACCTTTTTCAGGACAAGGGTGCTGAAACAGCAAGGTCACAAGGTCAGGGGAGTGTTTCTAAACGGAGGAATGGTACAGGCTCCAGGGACTTGGAGCACAGATAATTGCTGAAGGAATGCCAGTCTTTCCTCAATGCTGGTTCCCCCCCGGAGGACCAAGGACAGGTAAATTACCTATGATTGGATTTATAAGGGCTATTTTTAGAAAAATGTCAGAGGTTACTTCTCCCACAATTATTCCCCTGCAGGGCTCCAACAATTGCTACCAAGAGTGCAAATGAGTTTAAAAACAAAAAGAAAGAAAAGAAAAAGGCTAGGAAAGGAAGAAAGAAAGGAAAGCAAAGGAAAAAGAGAGACAAAAGAGGCCAGGATGGTGGAAGGTCATCAGTGTTGGGAAAACAAAGGTAGGACGGCGAGCCGAACCACGGCAACTGGCCCTGAAGAATTCAGATCATGAATCTTACTTGTATTCTATCATGTTCGGATTTTCTTGGTATGCCTGCTTTATTCAGGTAAGTGGTATAAAATTCTCTATTTCACACTATAGTGTCTCTTTCCATATATGAAAACGTTCCTAATTCTCACTCTGTGCAGAGGTATAAGGAGTAAGGCACAAGTCTTAATTGCTTTCAAGTGAGGCTCATTTAAAGAATAATTTACAATTTCTTATTTTGGTCTCATGTGATTGGCCCTGGCAGAAGTAAATTCAAACTCTGTAGGGCCAGGAAGGAACATGAATAAAGTAATCTCTTTTTAAGGAATGAGTGACTACTCAGCTGCAGGAAATTAGGGCCATAAAGCACTGTGTGTGCTGTTTGGTATGCTTATTCTTTGAAGATGTGCACCTAGACATCTAGATGTTTATGCAAACAAAATTTTCCAACACATAATAATAAAATAAATACTTTTGTGCCTTTTTTTTTCTTTTCTGATACACGGTCCCTCTAGATAGTCCAGGTTTGACTTGTTCTCACCAGCTCATCTCAAACTTGAGATCTTCCTGCCTCTGCTTCCTGAGTTCTGAGATTATAGGTATGCTAAGAAGCCCAGTGCTAAAAAGAAAACATTGGCTGTAGGCTGAGGAAATGACTCAGTGGGTACAGTGCTTATTGTGTAAGTTTGAGGACCTGAATTTGGATTTCCAGCACCCATAGGAAAAGCTGAGTGTGGCAAGGCCCATATGTAACCCCGGTGCTGGGGGTAGAAAGAGAAAGACAGGAGACAGCTCACTGTTTAGCCAGTCTAGCCAGTTGGTGAGCCCTAGGTTCAGTGAGAGACGCTGTATCAAAAATAAGGTAGAGAGGGATAAAGACTGGCCCTGAAGAATTCAAATCACAAATCTTACTTGCATTCTACCCAATGTCAACCTCTGGCCTTCACAGGCACATGCATGGTGGCACATGCACACTCACAAATATCAGGTACACACATGCAAATATGCCACCCACATCTTGTTTGTGGGTCATCCATCTATTATAGTCTTCATTTGGATACAGCTACTTCATTCCTTATTGATCTAAACTGGAAATCAATTCCATTTCCTCAGGAAGATTGCTCCTATAATCAAGCATACAGAAACACAAATAAGCTTTGGGGTTGCTAAGCTCTTGATGTAAACTTAGAAGGCCCGTTTATATAAGAGGTGCCCAGAATGGCTGGAGAGCTACTGACTAGTAACTGACCACTTCCCTTAGTTATAGCTTGTGTACCTTAGCAAATTTCTCTCTGCTTGGAAGAGAAAAGGTGGTTGTTAACTCTCTGCAGCTGCCTTAAAATGCTCTCATTGAAATATACTGAGTGCTCCTGTGTGCCACTGCTGTGGCTCTTGCCATCCCTCCTGCTGACATCCCTACTGCTTCTGGTTTTCTGGTGAGTGCAGAATACAGCTTCCCGATCTGGGTTAGAACCTAAGGCAAACATAGCTGCTTCACTGTCTAGCTTCTGTCAAGTACTAAAGAGTGAGTCATGGGCTCTCAAACTGCTCAAATACTAACATTTTCCAGAGAGAGAGAGAGAGAGAGAGAGAGAGAGAGAGAGAGAGAGAGAACACAATATACGGGTTTCAAGACCCTAGGTTATGCCAGTGT